ACCCACCCCGACGCCGACGCCGACGCCGACCCCGAAGCTGCTCGTGAGGGGCGCTGTGATCGTCTGAATAATTGCGGCGTTCGCGTCGTCAATGGCCTCCGCCTCGCCTGTTGCAGCTGCAGCTGCAGATGATCCTCGATGGTGGCCACGATCGCGCCATGCTCCCCAGCTGAGCATTGCGCCTGTCCCACACCACAAGAATGTGTATTTGTGTGCGCGTGTTAGAAGAAATTCGCATTTGGGTAGTCATGTTTTCGCACCAGCACCAAAAGTTAAGAAATAACAAAAAAAAAAAAAAAAAAAAAAAAACAATTCCAGTCGAGTGCCACCGACTGCGCCATGCTCTGCTCACAGACGGCAGTTAACACGACCGCCCGATACCCTGCAGCCAGCCTTGACAAACATCTCTCTCAAATATTTCATTTCAATCATTAAGCGAGAGAGAGAGAGAGAAGTGTTCAATGTGGCCTAGCTCTGCTAAACATATCGATAACTTTGTTATGGGGTCTTCAATATCGATAACTTGAGCATATCGATTACTTTCCCAAGGGGGAAGCTCCATTCAGGTCCACACCTCTTCCTCATAACTCCTCTAACTCTTGCCTCATCTACTTATTAAAACTATCGATATTTATCGATAAATATCCAGTAATCGATTTATCGGTTATCGATTTTGAGATAATGAGCGCTAGAGTAATCAAATGTGCCAAGTGGGACCACGATGTTTTCACTTCTGGCCAACCTTCGTTGCGCGAGTACAGGGTATCTAGCGGTCGTGCACTTTCGGCTGTGGCACTCTTACATTTTTCATTTTGTGAACAGAGCATGGCATAGTTCGAATCACAAATGCTGTACAGCATTTGTGGGTTAGTGTTAAAACGAGGCGTTCGCAACGAGCAGCCCAGCACCAGGCAACAAGATGGATCCGGTGTGGGATCGGTTCACCTACCTTCAAAGCCCTCGTTGTCGTCCATGACTCGGGCGGGTCCGACAATGTTCTCCTTGCCCTCGAGCACCGCCAGCAGGCACTGGTGTATGCAAATGTATTGCTGCTCCGTTTGCACCATCCAAACGCGCTCTGCGGGAGAGAGAGAGAAAGGATTTAGAGCTGGGTAGAAAGTTTGACCTGGAATTGGGAATTTACCCTTGCGCATGGCATAGACTATGCCGAAAATGTCCACATAGTCGGACGTATTGATCTGCTGCAGAATGCGATCCAATGTGATGAAGGTGCCCGATCTGCCAACGCCAGCGCTGCAGTGCACCAGAATGGGACGCTGCTCGGCACCGATGCGATCCCGGAACGCGCGCACGAAACGCACCAGCGTCTGCGGAGGATTCGGTACGCCGAAATCGGGCCAAGTGATGAAATGGAAGTGACGCAATATGCGCTGCTCACTGCCCTATAATCGAGAGCGAGAGAGAGAGAGAGAGAGAGGGGAGGAGTAAGTCAGGCAGTTGGATGGGGAAAAAGTACAAGGGACTTACCCGGCACAACATGAACTCGGTCATGACCCAGTCAGCGTAGTGGCTGTCGTTGAGTATTTGCACCTTGATATCACCGTAGAACACGGGCACCGTATCGTTGGGCCAGTATTGGTCGCACTTCTCGCGTCCCTTCTCGAAGCAGCGTGTCAGCATAACAATCGCCCGCGAGTTGCTCTCCCAGCACATGCGCCAGAAGTCGTCGCGCGTGGAATGCAGCGGTCCCTGGGTGACAATGAATTCGCGTGGCGAATTGTGGCCGGGCACATAGTTGGCATTGATATAGTCGGATCCCTCGTCATCGTCGACGGGCTGCAGCTTGAAGCGCGAGTGATCGTAGGGTAGAATGTTGGTGAAGCGATTCTTGGGCCGATTGCAGGGCAGGTCGGCGAACGTGCACGGCTGATCCCGGCCGACATGCTTCAGTTCCTCGAACTCCTCGCTGAAACGAAAGTCCGAGTCGGCGGACATCAGGCGATAATGTTCCGCAAAGTTCTTAATCAAAGGCCGATTCTGTTCGATGACGCTGTCCGGCAGGGACATGTTATCATTGGCACGCGAGTCCTTGGTGGTCTTGCGGCAATTGTTGCGGCGTCGCTTGTAGAAAACCAACGTGACCAGCAGCACCAGGATTATGGTCATCGGCACCGTAATGGCCACAATCAGCGAGGTATTGTCTTGATCTGCAAAGAGCATTGAAGCCAAGAAGTTAGCTAAAGGTACACATCAAATGGAATAATTGCATGGCTTTTGCCGGACGACAGCTTACCCGGCGAGCTCAGCAGTTCTACGACAAAGGATCATAGAACATGCAACAGGCAAGACTAGATTATAACAGAATGGAATTAAAAAACACGCAGCTCAGTTAGTTTTGAGTGTAAGCTTAAACTAAATTTCGATTGGGTCTAACGCAATGAACCAAGTGCGGTTTGATCCTTTCCACAAGCTGAACGACTAGGCTAACCTCTAGCTTCTATCATCGTTGAGACGACCCATGTCCCTGACAATGAGGCTATTTTCCAACTGTCTTAAAGTTCCATTCATATGCTTGGAATTTTTTCCATACTACATACCCCGTGCTTTTAATCCCTACTTCCATCGAAACAGATTTGCCGCAAAGATAGAATCTATGCTCTGTAGAATTTTCCATGTGTATGATGTCTCCTCGCTGTTCAAGTGTTGACCCCACATAGGAAAAGGTTACTACCGTACAAATTCCGTTTCATAGATCTGCGTTGTAGCTGGGGATTGATCATCAATCAGTTAGTCTGTCAGTCAGTCAATCAACCCTTAATGAAAAACTCTTAGGAACGTCTCAGCTTATAACTTCCATGAATCTCAAGCTGAGCTACTTGCATGAATTGACCTAGTCGAGCTACTCCATATTCCTTAAGGATCTTCCCACTCACGGGTTTGTAGCTGGTCAGTCAGTCAATCTATCGCTAATGTAACCCTCTTGGGAACGTCTCAGCTAATAAGCTACTTCCGTGAATTGACCTAGTCGACCTACTGATTATTCCTTAAGGGACTTGTCCACTCACCGGTTTGTATGGGAAACTGTAGGCCGTGTCGGTGAACTTGTCGGGTCCGGTGAAGGCGCGCACCTTGACGCGATAGGTGGTGCCGGATTTGAGGGGTCCATTGCAGTAAGCCGATTTTTGTGATTGTCACAGTTCTCGGTGCCGATGGTAAAGTCCTCAACGGAAACGGTTCTCGAACGGGTAATACGGATCGATGGCCTGGTAGGGCAACCAGACGCTATACGACTGTACATCCAGCCAGCTGGGCATTTCCAAGCCGGAGGCATTCTTGGCATCGTCCTCGGCCACAATAATCGTGTACATGCGCACCTGTCCGTTCTGGTCCGAGGAAGTAGTTCTTCCGGAAGCGTATCTGTATCGTCGACGAGCTGCGGTACACCTCGGTGGGCACCACCTGTGTGGCGGGTCGCGGCGGCGCCAATATGGGCATCGTTTGCTTATATTCCCGCTCCGGCCGTAGCCAATCGCGGTCTTGGCCTGTATCTTGAACACATACGTCTCGCCGGGCTTCAAGTTCTTGATGACGCCAAACGATTCCTCGGAATCAAAGTCCTGCATGCCCGCATCCGTTGCATTATTGATGTTCACATACGCAATCGAGAACTGTCGAATGACGCCGTTAGCCTCGCTGGAAGGCAGCGACCACTCAAAGTTAATCTCGCTGGGCTGCACATCCATCGGATGGAAGCGTTCCACGCGCACCCGGCACCGCCTCGTTGGTGGTAAAGCTGGCCGAGAGCGGCGCACTGCTGCGCAGCACCGAGGACTCCGTGCCGGAGCGTACGACCACCGTGAACGTGTAATTGCGATGCGGACGCAGATCGCTGATCGTGATCTCGTTGCGTGTGGTCATGTTCTGGGCGAGCAGATTGTCGGCCGTCAGATAGGCGATATCGAAGTCATTGTACTCGCCCTTGGGCAGATCCCAGCGCAGCGAGGATTTCCGTGTCCGTGATATTCGTTGCGTGCAGCTGGGTGATGGGCTCCGGATAGAGGCGATCCTGTCGCTGAATCGGCCAAACTGGCGACGCCGCCGCTCACCGTCCCACACGGTTATGTTGTAGAGGCGGCCCGGTATCAGGCCGGTGAAGGTCACCTTGCGGTCCGTATCGTTGGCCAGCTTCTCCTTTTCCTTGATCTCCGCATCGCCCAGCGAGAAGCGATAGATATCGAACTTGGACGATGACTGCGGCGTCGGCGTATAGCTCAGCGTTATCGTATCCCGTTCGTCCTCCTTCTCGCCATTGGCCACCACCACGTCGGACTGGATGAGTGGCATGGTGCGCGGATAGAGGCTCGTTATGCCCGACAGTATGCCGTACGAGGTCGTCTGTATCGAATTTGTACTGTACACCCGGCATCAGATCCCGATCAGCACACGGACTGTAGATAAATCATCAGCTGTGTGGGAGGGAGGAGAGAGAGAGAGGGTTACTAAGAGCATAAGGCTACAAATAAATTTCTTAGTTAAACATTCCGGAGGTTCGTTCCTTATCTACTCTCCTCTTTACTTCCCTTACTTCCTCTCTCTGGAAATCAATTACTTTCTTGGTTCTAGACCTTAATTTTAATCAGGGGTAGTTCCTTCTCCTTAAAACCTTGGCCGAGACTAGGCTCATTTGGCTTTTAGCTTATTCCTTTTTTAAAAACGTGCCTGAATTCTATTTTATTCTAGACTCTCTTTACGACTAGCGTTTATTTTCTCAAGAGCTGCGTCTACTTTCCTCTCGCACATCAAGTGAAGTCCACTTCTTTGATGAAAACCTGATTTATCCTTCTTTCGCTTAGTCCTAATTGAAAGAATTTGGGACTAAGGCTTCCAGTTTCAGAGCTTGAATTAAGTTTTGTAAGACTTCTTCCTTTCCTCTTATTCAATCCTGATTCTTATACTGAGATACTTATAATTAATTTCATGGAGTTATTCCTGTATTACTCTCTTTTTAAAGGTTTCTTTCATAAGAACCTGTGCTATTTTTCCTTTATGCATGCCGATTTAAACTACGTCATTTTCTTTTTTCCCACCTTAGATTTTACTTGTCTTTCCCATCACTTCGACTGAGTAAGACATTGCCTAGGCTAGCCTACATCTTACTTCGCTATTGCCGAACCTTTGTTCTTGGAATAATATCCTTTAAATAAACTTTACTGCCTTTGTTAACTTAACTCTCTTAACTCTTCGTTTGGGAACCTGTCTTTTCGGTCCCCGACTTACCCGACTTGTTCTCCGAGACGTTTTTGGTTTGCACGCGCGTCGGATTGTCGCTGGGCCACCATTTTAGGATGTAGGATTCGACACGACCCTCCGGCTTGGGCCACTCTAGCGTGATGTTTCGCGAATCGACGAGCTGTATAATGTTGGAAACCGGGTTCGGTGGCACGGTTGTGTTCACCTCCTGCGGATTGGGACTCTCGACGCCGAAGCTGACCGTGTTGACCTGTATGGTGTACTTCTCGCCCTTGGTCATGTCCGTGATGTCGGCCTCCGTGGAGCGTACGCTGGGCAGGCGCACCCATTGCTGTTCGCTGTCTGTGCGATAGCGTATGGAATATTCCGTAAACTCGCCGCTCTCCGGCGGCGACCAATGGACCAGCACCGAGTTGCTGCGCACCGTTTCGATGGTCATGTTGCGCGGGCGGATTGGGAACTGAAAGTGTAGGAATCGTATTAGCTGGGAGCCATAGCCAGAGTATGCGATACTTACAGACTGCCTGGAAGTAGGCGTGCGGCTCGCTGCGCAGCTCGTGACTCACGGCGAAAAACCTTGAGCTCGTAACCGGCGCCCGGCTGCAGGTTCTTGATGACCAGACGTGACTCCTTGGTGATGAGGGTGCGCACCTCGCTGGTGCCGTTGCGCGAGTAGAGCACCTCGTACTGTTCCTGCTTAGAGTTGACATCGCTCTTCCAGCTGATATTGAGGCCCATGGCGTATGCTCTTCAGATCCTCAATGATGGGCGACGAGGGACGCGTCACCACAAAGATGCTCGTCTCGTTCGATTCCATTTTCTTGGAGACGGCCTGCACGGACAGCGAATAGTTGCGGCCCGGCAAGAGGCTCTCCAGCGTGAATCGAGTCCGATCTGTGGTCAGGGTGCTCGTGTCGCCATTGAATGTCTCCAGCTCGTGGTAGCTAGAGGAAGAGGGCAAGGATTTGTAGTCGAGCTTGAAGGATTTATAGGGTTCTTTCCTGTGCTACTTACACAATGCGATACTCGTCCTGTGTTGCTGGCGCATCCGCCTCCCAGGTTATGATCATCGTGTTGGTCTTGTCATCATTGAAGCTACGCAAATTGCGAACGGGCAGCGGACGCAGTGTGACATCGCCTGTGGCGGGCCAGGAGGTCACCTTGCCGGACACGGTCTTCACAATCACATTGAACGTCTTGCCCGGCTCGGCGATGTCACGGAAATCAAAGTAGGCAATCGGTTCGTTGCTGCGCGCGACTGTCGACTGGCGACGTGTGGTCGCGACCGAGACCTGATACTTGTCAAACTCGGAGACGCCCTTGGGCGCCTCCCACAGTACCCGGAACGAGTTGGACGTTATGAAGTCCTTGTCGAAGGTCACGTTCAGCGGACGCAACGGCACCGTTCGATATTGTGCGGTCGTCGGCAGCGATATCTCATCCTCGGACATGGTCTGCACGGATATATTGTAGGCACGTCCCGGCACAAGTCCCTTGAACGCCGCCTGCGCCGGACCCGGCGGCTCGCCCTCCTTCTCCACATACAGCACACTGTCATTGGCATCGGGCGGCTCTATCGACACCTTGTAATGGGTGTATATACCCGCCGGATACGGCGGCTGCCACAGCACCAAGAGCGTTGTCTCATTCCGAAACCACACAATGAATTTGCCCGGCGTATTCGGCTCTGCGAAGCACAATCATCAGAGGAAGGAAGGGGGAACAGAGCGAGAGAACAAAGTTGAAAGTTTCTTTGTGTTAGCTGATTTGACAGTCGACATTTTTTTTGCTATATACAAATACGTGAGTATATACCCAGATATATGTATACAATATATATATGCAGGTGTGTGTGAAATGCAAGCAAATGCGCTTAGTTCAAGCTGAATGCCTTGGTCTATTCCTCACATGCACCTTGGTTAGAGCTCGAGTTAAATGTTTCTATGGAAATTAGTTTTCCTTAGTTAGTAGTATGTTAGTATATATATATATGTATGTATGGGTATTTCGGGAAGTTATATACAATGATAAACAGCTAGAAACAAAAATGTATACTTGGTAATGGTTGAAATTTAATTTGGAGAACTTGGTTTATAAACCCAACTCGATAACTATAAGAGCTAGATAGACCAAACTTGTTTAGTGTATATAGATTAAGAATATTTCATAAAACTGTCAAGGTTGCCAGCAAATGAGATAAGAACACTCGTCTTAAGATCTATAGCCTTGGGCTTTGGTATATATGCTTTTTAGCTGACCATATTTATGTCTAGAAAATTTCATTAAAATCGGACTGTAAATACCGAAGTTACGCGAGGACAACCTTGCCAGAAATAGCATAAAGTTGTAAGGTTAGCTAGAATTCTTGGCGTTGGGCTTAGAGTATCTCCGGTTACGACTGACTAATAGGTAATATTATAGTCAGATGCGAGTTCAAAAAGTTCTACTCTAAATAATACTCTTTAACTTTATTTGAGCTTGACTTAAGCACACATCAGCTAAGCCTCATGTCTGCGTGAAGCGCAGCCAACTTAACAACGCATAAAATGTGATTAAGTGCTGCCAGATCGCCAGAAGCAGACCACTGTGCAAATGCCAGCCAGCATTTGGTGTGTGCAGCAAATTTCTGTGTAGTTGCACTTTGTTGCGGTCTGCCAACTGAGGGAGATGAAGGGTATGGAGGGAGGGTAGTGGGAGTGCAATTTGGGGCTAGTGAAATGAATTTGGCTCGTTGCCAGCGGTCAGTTTTGAGGGGCGGCTTTTGGGTGCTAGGTCAGGGTTGTTTTCAGACCATTGAAAAGGGAATTCGGGCTAGCTTTGAGGTTAGTTTGTAAACGAAAAACAAAATGGGAAAAAAAGGGAAAATCTAAAACTACGCATGCAGCTCTATTTAAGCGAGGCAACCGGAATGTGTGCACATTACATTACATTACCTCTCAAGATTTTTATGTCCAGCAATTCTTTATGCCGCGTCCTTCGACCTTTGTGTTTTATTTAGTTTAGTTTTTAGTTAAAATTACGAGTAAAAGCACAAGAGTTATTTAATATGTTCGGGTAGAGAGTAAAAGAATAAGATATTGTTGTTGTTTTAGTCAAGTTTAGGCACCAACACCACACAGAAAACAATTGAATGGAATCAAAGTGTTTGAGTTTTACGTACTTGTCGTGAAATTGCGACTCGTATAGGCCACAGACTCCTTGCCATCGTATATGGTATAGGCCTGGACCTGGTATGTGGCGCCCGGCGTTAACTCCTTGACACTGTGCTGGAATGTATTGTCGTTGACCTGAAAGGTGCGGTTATAGCTGCTCGATGCCTCCGATAGGCCCAGCACCTTTATCTTGAATGCCGTATAGCTGCCCTGTGTGGGCGGTGACCAAAGTATTATCGCGTTTTTGCCGCTGCGCACCTGCACGGACAAGTTCGAGGGCGGATCGGGCGCTGCAACAAGTTAAATAAATATATTAATTAAGAAAAAATAAAAAAAATAATTATATAAGTATTTGGTAGAACCAGGCATCGAACTCGCACGTTTCGTTTACCATGCAAACATTCTAATCCTAAGCAAACGTTGTTTATTGTGAATAGTTCACAATATTCAAGCAAAACTCAACTGCTGCTATAGCTGCTGCTGCTGCGCTGCTACTGCGCTGCCGCCGCTGTCTGTTGTCTATTTTTAGCTACACCAAAGTTAAGCGGCCTCACTCTCTCTCGCCGATGCTCTCTTTTTTTTTTTCTTTTTTTTTTTTTGGTGTTTTGTTTTTGCTACTGCTGCTGCGCAACTGGTTTTTGTTTTTGTGCGTTGCAATTTTTCACTTTCTACTTTTGACAGCTACATTTTTATTGGCTGCCGTGAAGAGAGGCAGATCGGACGAGGGAGGGAGAGAGAGTGTGTGTGTGTTTTGTAGATAATAATTTTAATTCGAGTTAACGGCATTTCAATTATTGAAATTAAGCTATATTAATGTTTAGTAAATAATTTTATTACTCATTAATTTTAGCTACGAGCCCTTTTTGCTGCGCCCGCTTTGCGTTAAGGGAAAACTCAGGTGCGTGCTTAGGTGGCCAATTTTATGTGTGCGTGTGTTACACGCACACCTCTGGGGTATTTATTAATTTGAACAGTGGTCAGAATTACTCATCAAGCATTTAAAGTAAAAAAAATAACAAAAAAAAAACAAATTAAACAAAAAATTTGTTTATGCATCGGCCGGGAATCGAACCCGGGCCGCCCGCGTGGCAGGCGAGCATTCTACCACTGAACCACCGATGCTTCATGCATCAAACATCCTAGATGGCAGCTACATGAAAGCTCAATGCGTTCACTTATGCTCTGGCTAGCATTAAATCAAAAATTGTTGGCAGAGTAAAAAAAAAGCTTGTTAACATTTTGATTTATGACTTGTTCACAAATTCTCAACCAATAAAAGCTGACATATTAATTAATCGACAGCAGCAGATGGAAAAAATAGAAAAAAAAAAAAACGTTTGTCAAGTTGGTTTCTCGTTTTCAGGTAAAAACTCCCGAGCTAGCATCTATTTTAAAATTGCTCTGGCAAGCTTTGCCACCTTGTTCGACTTACCTGTCGTTATGGTCACCGTCCAGGTGAGCCAATCGTGATGCGTAAAGTTTGTATAGTAGAGCCAGAAATTGTATTTGGTGCCGGGCAGCGCGCGCGAGAACTGAATCTCATCGCCAATGTCCCTTGAGGCGATTGTTGTGTTCGGCTCCGGATAGCCAAAGGGCGGACTATAGTCCAGACGATACGAGGCGCCATCGTCCAGGCCGGGATTGTTCGGTATGCTTATGGCCAGGTCGGCGCCATGCGCGTGCTGCAATAGAAGAAGAAATTGTTAGCTACTCTGTTCATAAAAAACTGTTTGGCCTGACTGACTGACTGACGGATTGACTGACTGACTGATTGGTTATCAACGAGTTAGGGTCCTGCAATTTCTACTATAGATACCTTGCGAGATGAAGGTGCGCGCTATGACGGGGTTGTATATATTTGTGTGCAAGTTTGCTTGTATACCTGCAATTCATACATACACACATACATACATACACACACACATACATACATACACACATACATACATACACACACACATACATACATACATACATACATACATACATACATACATACATACATACATACATGTATACATACATACATACATGCATACATACATACATACATTCATACAAACACAAAAAAACAACAACAAAAAAAAGCATAAAAGCTGAAAAACTGCCGGGCCTACTTGAATTCTTGAGAATCGAGGAGGAGAGCACTTGGCAAAAATTCGTTTTATTTAAATTTGCAGCACAGCGACGAATCAGCTTGGTCTGCATTTGGCCTTAGGAAACAAACATGCGCGCATGTATACATAGGTGCATGCATACATGCATGCATGCACACATGCATGCATGCACTAACACACACATGCATACAGATGAATCGAATGGGAATCAGACTAATGAGCCTGGCCAAGAACTAATGAGTCAGGCAATATGTTTAGGGTTCGAACCCGCGAGTAGCATGTGTGTATTTCCAGGGAATGCGAGTACCCGACAAAAGTGTTTGGTTAGTTTTGACTAGGCTGTAAGTTTTGCACTATCTCATGTACTTTTTTATATAAATAAGTAGTTGCAATTATTTGGAGTGGGGCTGCAGCTAATGGTTCCCCCAGCCCCCCCTCCCCCTCTGCAGCCAGCAACCAACGCGAAGGACCTGCTCCGCGCGCAAAAAGTGCAATGACATTCGCGAGAGGCAAACAAAAGTTACAACTGACAATAAAATGGCGCATGAAGAGGACAATGATGATAATGATGAGTATGATGATGATGATGATGATGATGGGCATGATGATGATGGGCAAGAGTATGTCCTTGTTGTTGTTCTTTGGCTGGTGGCAGACGCCAAATATTAACACCGCAAACAATGTGAAAAACACAAAAATGGAAAAAAAAAAATGGAAAATGCTGAACAAAAAAAATAATGATAAACAAATAATAATGAATGGCAGACAATTCCCCTCCCTCTCCCTACCCTTCCTGGCCACCCACAGGCACACACACAGACACAGGCACATTCAAAAAGGGTTGAGTAGGAGCGCAATAAGTGTTGGAAAACGTGCAGGCGACAGAGCTGTAGGGTAGAGAGCCCTGATTGCGCACTACAAAAGCTGTAATTAAAATGTTTTTGTTATTCGCAGAAAATATTTGATTGGACACGCACGTGACAGTCGCATGTTTTTGGCAATGTAATGAATACAAAATCAATTTGTTGCATACTTTTTGAGCCAAGTCGTAAACAAGAAATGAAAACAAAAAAAAAATCCTGCTTTACGTGACGGAAAATAGTTGTGAAAAGTTCGTTGCAAACAAGCAAAATAATTAATAAATGAAATCAACCAGTTGCGATCAAAGTTAAAAACATGTTTTTTGGTGGCAAGCAGTTTTTGCTGTGACAAAAAATCAATTGCCTGAAAATGTATTTTTCCCAGTGGCAACTGTACTTTAATTATTTCAGTCTTTTGCCGAACACATTTCAAGAGTTTTCTCTCAGTCATAGAAAGTGTAAAGACCGCATTAAGTTGGCTGTGCTTGCCTTCTGTACAGGCATGTTAAGTTGGCTGCGCTTGCCTACTTGACAGGCATGTTAAGTTGGCTGCACTCGATGTATTCATAGACAGCAATATGTGGGCTGAGCTTCAACTTTTAACATGTATGTTAAGTTGTCTGCACTCGATCGCCTCCCAATAAAGTGAAGTTCTGATTATTTGTCCTGCATGTTAAGTTGGCTGTACTTAATATACCTGATGATTTAAGATAACCGTTTAGCTGGCTCGCTCTTTTATTTCATAATGAAGCTAAATTGGCTTGAGCTCTGATTAATTGACACTCATGTTAAGTTGGCAGCGATCGATCGTTTAATAAAATTTAGCTGCAGCTCGGAATAATTGACACCCACATTAAGTTGGCTGCACTTGAAGAGCATTAAGTTGTCTGCACTCGATCGCCACACAATAAAGTGAAGTTGGCTGCAGTTCTGATTATTTGACAAGCACATTCAATTAACATGCAGCTCAGCGAATAGGCCATTAAATTCTACGTAAGGCAGGAGTTTATTAAATGGGCGTAACATCAACAAAGTAATGTTCATTTAATTGTACATTTCAAGCGAATGTGCTGTAAAAGTCAACAATTTATACAAACGTAATGCCCCGGCTTCGTTTAAATAACAACAACAACAACAACAACAACAACAACAACAACAACAACAATAAATGCGAGCATACTATAATTTATGTAAATAGCTGTCCCTGCTCGGGCGCCAGTAAAAAAGGCAGCGAATTAAATTTGTTGAATTGAATTATTGCTACACAGCAATTTAATCAAATGAACAAATGTGTGGGCGTTGGGCGTGGTCGCAAAACATAAACTAACGGCAAAGTGGTAAAACACACACACACACACAGTGAAAGAGAGGGAGAGGGAGAGAGAGAGACGCATAAATATGCGCAAAATGGCCGTAAAAAAAAAAAAATATATGAAAAACGAACGAACGGCGAATAAAATTGCTGACAAAATGGCGCACAAAATGGCGTCAAGTAACGGAAGTTTCAACGCAAACAGACCAACATAAATAAAGGGTGGGGGGGGAGGAGAACGTGCTGAAATGATTGATAAGTGAAAAAGCCCAAAAAGGCAAAATGCAAATAAAATTCTGACATCGTGGCTTGAAATTCATTCGAAATGCAAAATAGTTGGCAACAAAAAGTTGTCTGCCTGCACTTATGCTTATCATAATAAATGACGCATAGGCTTTTGAAGTGGCAGCACGCGTGGTTCGTGCGGCATTTGTCAACACTTGTCATTTTACAGACAAGTGGCAACGCCAATTGAGTAGTTGGCCTCGCATCGAGCTCGGCTTTGTTGCTGTTGTGCTTGCGAATCTTCTTTCAATTCCATTTTGTGCCGCATTCGTGAACGTTTTACTGTCAGCCCAGCTAATTAAACTCTGTGTAGATCACAATAGCGTGCCAAATCTGCCAGTTTGTCCAGACTGAAATATTCTATATAGACATATATTGCTTAAAACTTGCCCATCCCTCTAACTCGGTCAAATCTCATCGGATTTTCATGAAGTTTGGCTTTTTGTTCATGGTTCGGCCTCTAGATAAATTTGGCAACTAAATCTGGCAACATTATTTTTGGTCCAAATTCATGTCAAAATAGTATACTACTATCCTACTAATCTCAAATAAACTACATAGGTAGAAATATTCCACCCTCATAACTTGGTCAAATCGCATTCGATTTTCAAAACTCCTGTAAAAATGATGCCCTATAATTGACATACATAGATTAAAATATTTAAAAAATTTTCGAAATCAGATTTCGCCCTTGTTTTGTTGTCGTTAGCCGAAGGTGTAGGGTATTCCCTAGTCGGGCATACCTGCCGCAGCACTTTTACTTTTTGTTTTGTCTTCTTTTCGTTTTCAAACAGTTTTTTTTTTCGAGCTTCACGCTTGACATGCTTATCGCAAGCTTATTCCCAGGCACTTTGCTGTGACGCCCCCCCTCTCGCCGCTTGCCGTTCCCGTTACGCCATGCCAGTGCTTGGGCCGGGCAGTCAGTCAATCAGTCAGTCAGTCAGTCAATCAGCGAGGTAATTGCTTACTTTGCGCACACACAACTCATGCATATGAATTGCGGGCATTCCCCAATGTGATTATTCTCCATTTTCTTTTTCCCTCTTCCCTTTTCTCTTTCTCTTTCTCTTCGTTTCAGTTTTTGCGCGTCTGTCGCCACATAATCAATTGCTTTGTTACACTTTTTTTTTATTGTTATTGTTATTATTATTTTCGCTGCGGCGACGCGAGTTTTTCTACATTTTTGAGTAACAAGTTTTTGTTGTTGTTGTTGTTGTTGCTGGGCGGCAAATTTAATTGCAATTTAAGCGAAGCTTTCGCTACATTTTACACGCACACACACACACACACACACGCACACGCACACGCAGAGACAGTCCATAAGTGGGCAAAGAAAAAGTAGAAACGAGCTGAAATGAAATGTTGCTCAGCTACAACAACAACAACAACAACAACAACAGCTGCAAATGTAACTCTGCTGTAAAACGGCACTTGCTACTTCCCCCCTACCCCTCTACCACACTCTCTCGCTCTCTCTCTCTCTCTCTCTCGCTCTCACTCGTACGCACACCCTCTCACGCTCGCATCCCAGCTGATTGCATAATTGATGCGTTTCTTTTGCTTTGCTTTTGCGCCGTTTCGTTTCGTGTCTCGCCTTTGGGCATTGCATGATGCGCGCTTTTGGGCCGCGCTGCGGCTGCGCAGTCGGCGTCAGTCGGCGTCAGCCTAATTATCATTAGCTAATAATGTTCATGCATGATAATTAGCGCGCGCTGGCAACGCATTATGCAATTGTGACTCTGCAAAAGCAAAAGCAAAAACACAAAAACAATAACAAAACGGTTCTCAGCAAAAGCTTCAAAATTTATGCTGCTGCACTCTTCACACGCATTGTGCTCTCTGCTTGAGCATGTTTCGCAATTGGCCAGACAGCCAGACGGCGGGAGATCTCTGACGCTGTTTCAATGAGACATGGCATACCTATTTCAACGTTGCCAGACAGTCAGACATCTCTGGCACTCTTGATATGAGCATATATATGTTGCCCTTGTCAGATAGTCAAAGATCTCTGGCAGACCTGATATGATTTATATGTTGACTTTGTCAGACAGAGTCTGAATATCTGACAGTCTCGATATAAGCATACATATGTCAGACATCTCTGGCACTCTTAATATAAT